CACCGGGTTCCACACCCGGCCCGCTCGGCGTAGCCCTACAGCGAGGCCGCCGACTCACCCTGCGTCCTCTCGGCCGTGCTGGTGAGGAGGCGAGGAGGGCGCAGCGCCGGGCTAGAATAACTCGTGTTTGCGGACCGCGGACACTGCACCGGCCTCTGTGTTCAACGATTTACTCGCGGTGCAGCTATTATTCGCATCTTTCAGAGCCAGATGCGGAGATTCAGAAAGGTAAAGCGACTTGGCCGCAGTCACAGAAAGTGATGAAATCGGACTGGAACCCGAGATGCTTTTGAACACCCTAAACCCTGCTGCTAATCTGGGACTCAAGGCTTCGCCGCTGTCGAGAATACATCGCACCCCGGTAGAAATTCACAAGAGGAAACGAAGAAGGGAAAAACGTGAATGAAAAATGTAAGGAAAGGTAGTGGGGCGCAGTATTTGCTGCAGACCCTCCCTGGATAGTGGGGTAGATCTGTGTCAGATTACTGATCCAGAGGCCATGGAGGACTATGAGGGGCAACGTTACCAAGCACAAACCCTCAAAAGGCTCCCTCCTCTAAGGCGAAAGTTTACATTTATTGAATCTGGTAGCATATTAACAACTGACTGGAGGTGCACTTAGAACTAAAGGTGTCCAAATCTTCTAGGAGTTTTACTGGGGTGAAAATACCACCCCCCTCATCTGAACACAGCTCATTTCATCCATCCTAATGAATATCATGAGCACTATCTGGCTTGCCCAAGCTAGGAGGATTAAGGTTGACTTGGCACTTTGACTTGACTTAAGGTGAATATACAAGCTTTAACTTTTTGTTGTGGAAAATTTCAAGTACATACTTTAAAAAGACAAAATAATGGGCCCTCATTCGTTATCAACAGTTATCAACACATAACTAAGAGTTTATTTTAACCTGGAAAGCACCTATGATAGCAAACCGTGTACCATGTCCCAAACGAGGCCCAAGGTATACAAAGATGAATCAGATTTGACTGTAACCAACCTGGAGGAGTCAATGTCTGGCCTGAATCTTTGAACGATGAGCAGGGATTATTCAAGAGATGAAAGGTGTCCTTTTTCGTTCAATCATCTCTTTGCTATTTTTTCAACAAATAATTCTTAGGCTTAAGGCACTGTCCTTGGTGCTAAGAACATCTCAAGAATCAAAATCGAGTTCCTGCCTTCATACAGCTTGAATTTAAGAGAGGAGAGAGACATTAAGCACATAATTAGAAATGCGCAGTGTCTTGAAAGAGAAGTACAGGTCCCTGTGTGAGAGGGCTTAATGGGAGGCTTTCACAGGAAATGACACTTACACAAGGAGAAGGGATGAAGGAGATAGAGGTCAGGCAGGAGAAGAGGAAATTATTCCAGGCAACAGGAGAAATACAAGAAGGCCATGTCTCGGGTGTTGGTATGGTTCAAAGGTTTCCACCAAAACTCAGGTTAAAATTTAATTTCTTTTGTGAGGTGTTAAGAGGTGGGGCCTTTAAGAGTTTAAGTAAAACAATTCAGATACATAAGCTTAAATGTCACATGGTTTCTCTTACATTAGAAACCCAAAATATAAATAGAGAGCAAAATAAAAAATAAATTTTTGTTTGTTTTTTTCAGGCAAGTTCTCACAATGCTGTTCAGGTTGGCCTGAAACTCATGGCAATCCCTCTACCTCATCTTTCCAAATGCTGGGATTACAGGTTTGTGCCATCATACGTTTAAATGCCAGATAGTAGGAAATAGGGAAATAGGTCTTTTGAAAATGAGAAGGGGATCAAGAGGTGAAGGAAGGGAGAAAGGAGAGGGGAAGAGGATGAAAAAAAAGAGATATGTACATGTACCAACTCTCCACGAGAAGTGTAATCATTCCATGCTAATAAAAAAAAACTCAAAAAGGTAATAAAGGCATAAGGTTCTCCTTCTATAAATGGGTAATCAATCTATTCATGAATTAATGGACTAATGGGTTATCTGGAGTGTAGATCTATGATAAAAACCAGTTGGTCTCTGTCTCTTATATGTATTCTTCTTGCCGTGTGTTGCCCTGAGCCATCCTGGGACCTTGCAGAGTCCCCACCAGCAAGGAGGCCTTCACCAGATTTAACCCCTTGACCTTGAACCTTCCAGCCTCCAAAACCATAAGTGCATAAACCTTTATTCTTTATAAATTACAAAGTATATGGTACTCAGCCACAATTACAGAAAATGGTCTAAGATGGGTGTGATGGGGCAGAGGAGTAGTGGAAGAATAGCATAAGAACTAGAAATGCAGGAAGGTGCCAAATCAAGGGTGGCCTAAAAGTTATGAACTCTAGGCCATTGGAAAATTAGCAAAGGATTTGAAGGAGTAGAGTGGCACGTTCACCCTTAAAGGTTAGAAGATCATTTCTGGCTCCTTAGGGAGACGAGATAGGAAAGCAAAACTGGGAGTGTGAAGACCAGTTAGGAAGCAATTAAAGTACTGTTAGTGGGAAATGATGATGGCTTTGGAATATAGCATTGAAATGGGGATGGAGATGGACTGGGGATTTAGCTCAGTGGTTCTGCCACCTGTCTCACAAGTGCAAGGTCCTGAATTTGATCTCTGGAACCAAAAAAGTGGCGGGGGAGACTTTGGGCTGCTGATTTAACATAGTGGCACCGTGCCTGCCTCGCAAGCTCAAGGTCCTGAGTTTGATCCCTGATACATCCCCCACAAAAAAAGAAAGTAGGGATACAGAAATTTGTATAGGTTTAATGAACATTTAGGAGACAGAATCCACGGATATTAGTGACCAACTGATTGGTTGGGTATGGAATTGTTGAGAAAAAGATGACTTCAGCTTTTTGCTTGAGCAAATAAAAAAAACCCAGAAATATCTATTTAGATAGCCACTAGAATACTTGTCCTCCCGATTTCATTGATCAGGCTGATGTATTATTCAGTAAATATTTTCAAGTTACCAGAGGGACAGAGAGAGTATGATAGGGATGGGGAAAGGAATCTAATTAGGTAGAGTACAAAGAGGAAGCGCCCGGTTCACATGGTCATCTTCTGCTTGATGTTTTAACCCATATACAATCTTTCTGAATTTCTTATCTATTCCTAGGTCTGCAAAGCCTCCTGGAGAATCCATAGAGAATCAACATGTGTCCTTAACCCATCCTTTCTGTGTTATCTCTTCCCTTCTGATGTTTTGTAAGGCAGAAAAGCAAGCAATAGCCCATGAATCACTTTGGATGCTATGAATGGTTCTAATGTGGATTCTTCTGAGGCAGTAATTTTAAAATACTACATCAGAACTATCATGAAAGACTTGAATTAGGAGCAAATCTATCCAGTCACTTACCAAGAGTAATGGCTCTTTGTTATTTCATTTGGTAGGCCAGCCACTGATCATAACCAAAAAGTTGCTATCCAAGTCATCTGTATTGAAAGGCAAAGTTTTCCTTTCTATTGACACTCCTTATTTCTCTTCTTCTTCTTGTCCTTCTTCTGTGATTTTTTTGAGACAGGGTCTCGCTAGTAGTTTAGGTTGAACTTTAACTCACTATGTAGCCCAGGCTGGCCTTGAACTCACAGATCCTCCTGCAGCCTCTGAAGTGCTAGATCTATTGATACTTCTAAAGCAAAAGTCGCTTTATCCTCCATTACATATGAGTATTATTTTTATACTGTAATTTACCTGATAAATGATATAATAAATCTCCTTTCCTCTGATTGGTAGTTTTTATTTGGAAAATCTATAAGGAGTAAAATCTTCTCATGTACTATATGAGTTGAAATTTAGAAGTCAGATTCAAGGCCTAGCGGGAACTTTTTCAACACTCTGACTATTTAACACATACACAGAACAGTATGTAAGGTGAGAAGAGAAAAGGACTGAGAAGTAAACTTTGGAAATGCCAACATTTGGGGAGCCAGCAAAAGAAAAGAAGGCCAAAAAGGAAACTCAGGAGGAATAGAAGGGTAAGTGAAGAATCAAGAAAGAGTAATATCATGGAAGAAATCCAAGGGGAAAATAACGAATTCCCATGATTTTTTTTTTTTTTTTTTT